AGAATGCAAAATTTCAGACCAAAACAGTTTATTTTTATGGGGGTTACACAAGCTAGCTTCAAAGTAGGACACGTTTTCTACTAATCTCTAGGGTTCACATTGGAGAACAGCTTTGGAACAAGTCCACGCTACACTTTCAATCTTTTATTTTTGTATTTGCAGTCCAACAAAATGAAGAGACAAAAAAAAAAAAATGTAAGTAAGATCAGCTTTATCAGGAATCTGTCTAAACATACAGCATGCCAGCCCCGGTGAAATGATTCAACCCCATTAACATCTGTGCTTGGGCCTAGAGGGGTGGGAGGAAAGAAAACAGATATAAATGGCTGGTAAAAAGCAGATTTAAAGCAGGGCGAAAAGAATCTATCAAAAATTTAGGGCCCCAGTTATCAGTTCTCCTCTTGGATTTTATCACCTGATTAAAAAGTCTTATCTTTACTATGAGAATGAACCTTGATAAGTCCAGTTTGAACATTTTTGCTTTATACAGCAGCAAAACTGGGCTATCGAAAGAAAGGGGAGTTAGTTTATCAAATCAAACTGTTGTTTCCGTCATTAAATACACAGCTCCTCCACCATCAGTGAGTAATGTCGGTGGAATGCCTGCTTCCGTTCTCATTTACTGCTAGTGTTAGCAAATAACTCTTAAATGCTTGATAATTCCATATGCTACAAGTCTACCTATAGTCTAAAAGCACTTTGCTGGAAAAGTTCCTGCCTTTCAAGGTGGGGGCAGTTCAGAAAAGGTCCAGAACAGGTTGAACAGAAAGCAACAGGAGGAGGCGTGGCCTAAATGATAGCAGGGAGTCATAGGGGTGCAAAGTCTTTAGGACGGAGAATGGAATCCCAAATAGAACAAATGGGACAAGTTTTTTGTTTTTTTTTGGTTTTCCGGCCTGAACTGGAGCGATACGTGCACGTTAGGCTCCTATCACCTGTGTACTGCCACCCCCCTGATCTGTGATAGACCTTCAGAACAGATTCGTCTGTGAAAGCGAGCAAACACGAGCGTCGGCCTGCTCAAACACGATAGAGAGGAACACACTTTTTTTTTTTTGCGCATAACACACCGGCCTCCACCCACATCTCCACGTTAATGACAGACCTTAGCCCAACCTTTTGCCTGCACACATTTTTTTGGAAGTGTTTTGTGCTCCGAAACGAGGCGAGCGTGTTATTGAGAGGGATGAAGTACGGGGGTGAGGGGGGGGGGGGGGGGGGGGGGGGGGGGTGCAGGTTCTGTGTTAAATCAAGCAGCAACCCCTCCATGTTGCTAATTTATTTACAGATTTAATTAGATGGATTGAGCCCTCACAGATATAAGAAAGAAAGGGGAGATGTTGCCAGCGTTACAGCACATTAATTATGGTAGCGGGCTCCTGATCCCTTTGCTCTGCTGTCTAGGGAGCCAGTTAATTAAAATCCTCATTATTTTACTTTTAATTAGTTCCCCCCTCTTTTGTTTCCTTTCACCATATGGCCATGTTCCGTGGTCAAATTAAGGTAATTGAGCTCATTAAGCCGATCACTTTAATTATTCAAAGCGTTCCGATTGGCCGGGACAACTTTTCTCCTTTCCTTTCCTTTCCTCCCCCCCCCCCCCTCTTGCCTGACATTCCTGAACAAGGCTCTGAGTTGTAAAGTCGCTCTCTTTGTCGCGGTGCTTTTTTCTGCTGCCCCGGCTGAATGCAGTGAATTATGGCCCACAACATGCCTCACTTCCTCCAACTCCCAGCTCCGTCTCACGTTTCAGAGCCTCACAATGCGGGCAGGAGGAGGTATTTCTACAAATGATCCTAACTTTTGACCCACTATTGAGGTTAAAAAATTATTTGTGTTATTCGTTTTTTGATTGGGGCTCCACACATTCAGCTGAAACTTTGGAATCGGAACCCATTCTGAAAGTTTCTGAAGAATTTTCAGCTCTCTGACATTGTTTGTTGAACCTTTAAACTTACAAACTTTGTCTTTGAAAGGTGTGCAACCAGACGGTAGTTTTACAGAATACATACTTAAGCCGAGCTAAATACCTGCAGTGAGACAAAACCAGTTCATCAGCATTCATTGAATGGACAAAACAAACTTATAATAACCCTGCTTTCATCATTCAGTCTCAGTTTGTTTACTTTTCAAGAAACAAAGAGGCATTTATTCCCACAACTGCATTTCAAAACAGTTAAAACCAAGCCAATAGTAAAACAATTATTTTCAAAGATATATATGTATGTATGTGGTTTGATATAATCTTAGAACATACATAGATCTTTTAGGAGACACATTTTTCCAGGAATAATCATCAGACTGTTGGTAATTTACCTTGTATATCCAGTTTGTTTAGAACCTAAAAAGCATAAATAATGATAGATTTTAAACTGCACGAAAATTCATCAGCATGATAAAGAAATACAACCCATTTAGTCTTTCAATGCAAGAATACTACTCAAAAATACCTGTGACACAACCTTGATGAGCATTTCAAAAACAAAGGCAGCATTTTAGACTCAAAGCTCCCACAATCAATGTATTCAACTTTTCATGAAATAGCTTTAACCCCAGAGAAAAATCTTACACATTCGTCTAAATTATACGGACGAATTTCATCAATACAATTTTGATCTTTCTCTTTAAACTGTTCATCTCCTCATGGCTATGAAACTCTTGAGAAATTGTGCTGCTTTCAGCTCTCTCGAGTCCTTTAGAATTTGCTCATAATGTAATTTCTCAGTGCTACACTCACACAAGGTTGTCTGGTTCTTTGTGGTACCAGGAAATAGTACTTGGAAATGATGTATTAAATAGTCCTGTGAATGTCTCTCTGCCCTCTATTACGACTAGAATCACCATCTTTTAAGGGTTTACAGTGAATCCTGATTTCAAATTTGAATAGCGTTTATCAAAGGAAAGATGTGAACAGTTTTTGATAAGCACTCTCAATAACATGCATCTGAAAAACAACAGAAAAATGGACGTCAAAGGGAGAGAATAATTGATTCTATGATGAGCCCAATGTTCACAATAGTTCCCATCTAGTGACAAAAAGGAGACTGGACTAACAAAGTCTGTACATATGAACCAATATCAGTGCTTATTGTCTCATTTTACAGATCTGGGTACAGATTTCTTAACAAAAAAAAAGTGCCAAGCATGACTCGTTTTGAGGCATCATGGGATGTTTCTCAGAAGGACGCTCTGCTGATCCTCTTACTTATAAGCGTGCACGATTTCCCCGCCATCTTTCGCGTCTTCACACAGTTTGAGGTGGAGGAGCTTAGGCAATTACACTCATCTGCATGTGTTAATATGATTAATTAGCGGGAATAAACACTTTCCTATGACACGGGCTACATGGTGAGCGACACACCTGCAGAAGCCCTGATAAAAAAGACTCGTGGCAAAGAGCTTTTTTTTCAACGAGACCCGCTAATTGGCATCCGAAAATGTTCTGGCTAATTAAGAAAAAGGCAGATGAGGCTTGATTAGTTTGAATGCAAAGTGTAACTCGTGCTGCCGTGGGACTCAGGAATGTGCCGAGGTTGTGTTTCTTCACCGTCGGGGTAAAAAAAAGAAAAAAAAGAAAGATAATTGTAATTGTGATCATTTGCATACGTTAATGAATTTGCGTGACGCCTCTTGATCAGAAGTGGAATAAATAATTGACGCGCTATCAGCACCAACCGTGACGAGTGGGACATTTCGAAAGAAGCTAAGCGCATTAAGTTGTGCGTTTGATGGCTGCCATACTCCCAGCCAAGGTGTGAAAGTAGAGCAGATGCTATCACCTGCTTCCTGCACTCGGAGCACTCTGCCGGCGCTATCGCGCAAAGATTAACTCCCGGCCTCTGATGGTATGCCGAGGCTTTAAAAGTTTGCACGTAGCGTTTAAAAAATGCATGAAGAGCTCGAATGGATTTGATGCGACTCAGGAAAATACTTGTCGGGGACCAGGCAGAGAACAAAGAGCCAGGATGGGAAGCGGACCAGGCTGTGCTGTGTGGGGGGTTTTAATTGGAACATGGTAAACAGTAAATACGTTAGATTGTTTCGAATACCCTTGATGTAGAAGGGGAAACTCCCATTTAATTAGCCTGCTTTTAGATTAGGCTTTATTAAGAGGGAGACAGCCAGTCAGCCGCAGGATATACCCCCAAGTTCAGCCTCCCTGGAGGTCCGGCAGCAAAGATACGGGGCTCATATTTAATTACTTCTGTAAATGGTCAGAGCTCAAGCCCCTTAATTCCATTCCTCGGGGTAATCAGGCATGTTTTCCACACGCGGGGGCTAAATAACAATCGCCACACGAGGTGCCACGCCACGTAAAGCCACGCTAAAACGACAATGACCTCAAGTTGCTTTATGACCTGTCACAGAAAAATGGTTTTAATAGAATTGTTTGTTTTTTTAAATCCCCACATTGTTTCCCCCGACACATCACGCAGGCATGTGACAAACAAGGAAAGAAGAAAAAAAAAGATTAAATCTTTTTTAAAAATCTATTTCACCTCTTCTTACTGTAGAAAAAGATGTGTGTGAACGACGATTGCTGCTTGGAGGTTTTTGTTCCTGGTTTTTTTATAATGCATTTCAGTTTGCAGGTGCTTCCCTGACACCCATAATTGTTACATACACGAGAGAGAAACAGCCGTTTACAACACACTCGAGAAAATAACGTCACGTGGCCTAAGCAAAGCTTTAAAAGTCATTTGACAGCAGTTGATCAGGCAAGTGGATGGTGCTTTTTCATCAGTGTCATCCTCTTTGAGGTTTGTTCAGTCCTAAAGAAGCCTCTTTTTTTTTTTGCCAGAGCAGTCCACACTTGCTATAAGATCTCTGCGTACTGTCCAGATCAGATTGGACGCTGAACAGAAAACAGAAGCAGGACGCTGCGGTATAGAGATTCTCCGATACGGCGCGAGACACGACGTCTTCGGCGTCCTTCACATGAAAAGAAAAAGCTGGCGGCGAGAGCGGTGAGGAGACGCGACAAACACAATGGTGATAGGAGACAAAAAATAAAAAAAAGAGAGGCAGGAATGCACTGATGGGAAGTGAAGACTGGGAAGGAAATGCTGTCACTCTGAGCACTCAGCATACCTGCAGATAGGACCAGAGGGTCTCAGCATTAGCTCATAGAGGCAAAACCGGTAACACCAGTAAGCCTTCAAAAGCAAAGGTTAAAAAACAAAACACTGTGGTTGAAAACATCATGTCCTCGTATGTTCAGGAAGAGCGTTTTAACAGTTCAGGTCCGGAAAAACAAATATTTTACATACAAAATGAAAAACCTATTGTTATCTTTTAAAATTTGAAATTATACTCTTTTTATTTTGAAAATCATTGTTCAGTTTGTTGCAGAGTGGTATCTGAAAGTACTATATAGTAAGTAGGTAAAATTACAGACACAAAGTACTGTATAACTCAGTTACTTGGTTGGTACCTGAATATAAAGTATCAATGGAGGAGAAGATAGAGGAATAGAAATGACATCCTTTTTCTCTTTTAATATAACATAATAGTACTTATATGACCGATTATAATCCCTTACTTCATTCTACCACTTCCTATACCTTTATACAAGAAAAATCAATTATAAAAATAGATTTATTCTAATCTAAGATCTGTTTTAAATATGTCGGCCTCTGTGACGTCACGCTGACCGCCCCTTTGTTTACCTTCTGGTCAGTCAGCACAGAGCCGCTCTGAAGTGGAAGCAGGTGGCTGTTGAGCAAGGCAGCGCCCGGCCTGTCGTGCTCGCAAAAGATGGTACCGTTGACGTAGTGGAAGCGGTCCCCGGGCATCAGTCTGTTTCTGCAGGTGGCACAGGTGAAACACTGAAGGAGTGGGGAAAACGAGAAAGAACCGAGAGATAAGACGCGTCCTTTCAATTCCGCTCACCAAAGTCCACGTGTGCTTTTCGTGTGTGGCGTCGGCTCAAATAAAACTCAACACGGAATCGTAACGCGCTTGCTGTGAAACGCACTGCATGGGAAAATATCGAGACAATATCAAAACTATAACTATAACGAGGCAAACGAAACATGTACGATTTAGATCATTTCTGTCTGTGACTGTATTAGTGTCTCTCCCAGCCAAATCCCAAATGTTTATGTCACACAGGCGGCAGGGGGTGGTGTGGAGGAAGCTGGGGATTTACCTTCAGGTGGTAAACATTTCCCTGCGCCCTCATCACCATTTCGTTCGCCGGGATCGACTGGCCGCAAGCACTACACGCCCCGCTGTGCCCAAACAGTCTGCCCACGGGGAGAGAGAAAACACAAATTGTTTTGGGTCCGTGCAGGGAAAACCAAAAGTCTAAAAACAGCATCCTCCGCATCCTCCTCCTCCACCTATTTCCTTCATCCATCCTGACTCTCTGCCACCTCGTCTCACCTGATGTAGTCGCTGCGGCACAGAATCATGCCCCCTTTGCTGTAGCAGGTGGTGCCTATGTCCCCCAGCTGGGCCTGGCAACAGGAGCATTTGAGGCAGCACGTGTGCCAGTAGCGCTCCATGGAGAAGAGCAGAAAGCGATCCGAGATCTTCCCCCCGCATCCCGCGCAGGTCCTGGGGGCCGCCGGCACGCCGGACATTTGGCTGTTCACCATGTTTGACCCGGCCTCCTGAACAAAAGGATAGAAAAAAAAGCGAAGAGACAGATGTGACAAGTCAATATCCAAGACCTAAAGAAAAAAAACATTACCTCAAACACAAATCCTGAATCCAACAAGGCTTTAAAGGATAACCAAGGTGGGAAATAGAAAATAATTCATTCACAGTGCATCTGAAGTGCAATGCTTGTGGGGATTCTAAACAGAAACTTTGGATAGACCTCGTTTTTATTCTCGTTTTAGAGTTTAGAGGGAGCAACTGACAGCAACACGACTGAGAGCGTTAACAGGTTGACCCAAATACAACGACACACAACGAATACCAGAAATACATCAGAGATATTTATCAGACGTCGAAAGCAGGCTGGGAGGGGGGGGGGGTTCAGGTTCTCAGGCGACACTTCTGAAGATGTTCCACAAATCACGGAGTGACTTTTCTTCTAGCCCGGATCCTTTCGAGCTGCCTTCACTGGGCGTACAACAAAGTAGAGACTAGACTGGACAAGAAAACGAGAGCAAACCGAAGAGGTGCGTTACCTTAACGAGACGCAGCCTTTTCCTCTCTTCTCGAGAACTTAAACAAACTGGGAATTTAAAAAAAAGAAACAAAAACAAAAATTATAATCTCGGAATCCTCGGTCAGAGTTGCGGAGCCGCTCTCAAACGCGACATGTTGTGGTCTTCAGGGCTTTCCGCCGAAAGGACTCAACGAGTCCGGAGTCTGACGAGAAAGTACCGGACAGCAGAAGAACTGCAGGAACTGAGCGGAGGCAGCGTCGCGAAAGCTCGACTTCTTGTCTTCGTCACGGCCAACTCCGACGAGGACGTCCCCCTCCGAGCGCTTTCGACAGTGATTCTATTCATCAAATTGCGCAAGGGGGCTGCTTAACTTGCCGAGGGAGGAGGCAGCCGTCAAAGTCAGGCTTTTCAGCCAATGGGAGGGTAGGGGGGCGTGGCCTCCGTCGAACTGGTACGTGCTTATGGAGAAATGTGAACGCGCGCATTAACGTGCTCCCATCAGATGTCACCGAGTGTGGACATGCTAACGAGAACATGACATGGAGGCAGTTACTCAGTCTAATTTTATACTGAATGTTTAATTTATTCCACTTTAGGGGTCAGACATTAATTGAAAACTGCCCCATCACTGAAAAGGAAAGCATATGAATTAGGACTAAAACAGATATCCAAGCTTAATACTCAGTTCTCAAAAAACTAAACAAAAAAAACAACAAATTATATGGAAGATGGTGACAAATCAGCAAATAGCTTATTATCAGTGCATATGTGCATGTTAAGATTGTTCCTTAAGGGCCAAAATACAACAAAAACAACTTTAAATAACATTGTTTCCAATCTGTGTCGTTACAACGGCTTGAATGCATCATTAGATCATGAATTTACAAGTTTTTGTGTTTTTTATTCTTTTATACAAGCTATAGTCAATATTGAATATCTCAACAAGTCCAAAATTTCCCATCAGTATCAATTTGGGTCAAGGTATGGCGACTGAAGGCTATAGCAAATGATTATATTAACTTTTTTTTTTCATATAATTCGGTAACCCCAAGTAAATTAATCCAAAAGTGGAATTCAACAAGAAATTAACAGTCATTACGTAGTTAACCCTTCCTCTTATTGTACAAGTAGGTCTAAATTAGGCCAGTACAATATTCCTCTTTAGCATATTTGAATCCACAGGTACGCTTACTGTGGTGTTAGTAACACATCACACATGAACTCTGCTTGGGATCATGTATGATGTGGGAAAATTACGTCCCTGTTTCACACCAATTAGCACTCAAATGTGTTTTTTGTGTGTTTTTTTTTCATTTTTATGAACATCCTCCCTGAGCCTGTTGCTCACAGTTCTCCATCTGTTCTGGTTTCTTTCTAGATTACAGAATTCTTGTTTATTCCAAATTGGTAATAAGTGTGAACATGTATTGTTGGCTGCTCATTTGTGTTGGCTATGTAATGGCCTGGATTTTTTTTTTTACTCCAACCCTTACATAATGAAGTTGTTTATGACATAAAAAACTGATTATTCTTGTTTTGTCTAACAAGGTTATGCAAAGCCCTTCACCACTTGAAATGTTTCTCTTTCAATTTTCAACATACAATAACACACAAGCATCACTGACATCAAATGCAGCCATAATTGCCTTCTTCAGATCTAAAGAATTCCCTAGTGATCAGTGCTGTGGAGGTGTGAAATTGATATGACTCTCAACACATTTATTCAGGTGTTTACTTGAAGTGCCAATCTGTGGAATAGAGTTTCAAAAATAAAATTCCCACTCCTAATTCAAATGTCAAAGGGAGGACTTCTTTGTCTTGTATGTTTCAAGCTCCGCTACCGATCCAGTTCCTTTTTGGTTCAATTTTCTAACTAAAATGCTTTAAAAGTTCTGTTCACAGTCCAATAGTGAAGCGGTTTTGCTTTGAAAGTTTTGTTAACAGTCCGATAGTGAAGCGGTTTGTCAAGTTTAAAAATGACACCAAAAAGAATAAAGAGACAAGGTAATGTTTTGAAGAGGACAAGGATTTATTGTTGCAGTCCTATTTTCCTCCACTGGAAGGCAGTGAACTCTCACAATTAAACTGATCAGTAAAAAGAACACTACGTTTTGGGTGGAATAGGGAATGTCTATAATTCTGCCATCTTTTAGATCTTTAAAATTCCTTCTTAATTTCAAAGTTGTACCAGTCCAATCTGAAATTAAGTCTAAACTTGCTTTTAGAACAGTAAAACGAAGTGCAAATAAGCAGGTACAAACCTTTGTCCAAACAACTACTACTGTAATCCTGATTATATTTATATACCATTAAAATAAGACATTTTCAGGCAGGGGGAATATACCTCTGACACAGGACTTAAAGAATCTTCTAAACATGGACCATTAGTATTTTAATCACCTATTTCTGATAGACATGAGTAGTGTCTTTAAAAAGGCAATAAATGTTGCACAAATTAAAGAGGCATGTGCAGTTGTATATGTTATACAAAGACTATGATGTACTATGATCTGTACTCGGCCTATAAAGTCATCTTTTCTGATTCAATTGGAGATAAAACCTCATAGAGGCAACACTATTAGGAATGGAGCGTTTTTTTGTTTATAATTATTAATGATTGTTTATCAAGATTGCATAGTGGAACCTAAAATGTATTTTTGTAGTGAATCTTACATTTCAAATGATTCCGCCTGATTGACTGTGGATGTATTTGTGTCAGTTAGGCTGCCTGATATGTGACAAATCACATTTTTGACTTATTTAACAAGAGCTGTGTGGCAAAGTTAAGCAATATCACTTTTACTGGTGACTGATAGTGTATCCTTATGTTCGCATTCTTAATACCATCTCTCCAGCAAACTACTGGCTATTGTATTGTATTGTATATTCATTCTGGTGAATCTGGTGAAAAATGTAGTTGTCATATTTTTATAGAGTCAAATTGGTTAAATACTTTGTAGCACAAATCTTCAAATCAAGGCTTTGTATAATATGTTTTGGCGTGCATCTTAATAGTGTGCAGATATTAATAGACATTAATACAATTCGGTTATGCTTGCTTCTGGTTTGAAAAGCAACTTAATAAAGATGTTTCATCCACATAAGGTAAAATGTCTCAGGTATACATGTATTGTTGTAATGTTGTATTAATAGATAAGGTCATTCTCTAGCCTTTGACCTAGCTCCATAAATGAGTAAAACCTAGGACATAGTACCAATGTTGGTTATTATGTAGTTTCAGTTCTATTAGCTGTTTTCCTTTGAATTCTTGTTGATGTCAAAGTGTGAGTGTAAACCCTCAGTTCAAATAGAGAATCAAATTGTTGTGACATAAAAACAAACCAAAAAAACAACAAAAAATACAAAAATGGATGAGCCAGATTTGTTTTTGGCACATCAAGCTAAAAGGTCATGTGGATCACATCTTTCAGGATGCATGCGGTGTTGTTTTTGTTATGTAATGTCAATTTTCTCCCCTCTCTGAGGCCCCACTGATTTCCGAGATATTTCCCGTCCCCTTTGTCAAGGCCGTCCTGAAAGTCACAACTCCTAGAAAGATTGCGCCACACCTGGAACTTCCAGTCTGGGTTTCCGGCCAATTTAAAGCATGAATCACCTACAAAACACCATGGTGCTAACCAGCACACCACAGTGTTCTACAATCATATTCCAATTCAATAAAATGAATTAAAACCCAAATAAGTCCTAATTCATCCATGATCCAATAAAAAAAACAGTTACCATCAAAGGAAACCAGCAGATTGTATTAAAATTTCTGTTCAGCTCAAGCATACACAAGATGACAGTAAAAGGAAAAAACCTTAACAGCATGATACCTCTGGCACAACTATCTTCAGGAAGTGGTGAGGGCCATCTGCCATGATTGGCTGGGATTTGAGAGGACAAGAAAGAGGCAAAAAGCACCGTGACACGAGGCCAGGGACACCTGACGAAAAATAAAACCACAATTCAACAACAGCAATGACGTAATATGTACATAAAAGTGAAAAGTGAGCAAGGTAAAAGATGAAGGATTTATCAAGGGAAGCTCCCATGATCAGTCAGTTTCTATAGCCGCACAAGGTTGGGTTGCTTTTCAACTATAAGCTTTATGGAATAGAAACGTTTTAAGCTTAGCCCTCAAACTAGAGAGGATGACTAATTCACATAAACATAAAAAACATGTTTTATGCCTGGATATAAAAACCAAATGCAGTGCAGTCTTATATGAGAGATCGTCAGTATCGACAAAGTACAGATGTTGAAAAGGACCATCACATATGACGTCTAACACCAGAGCCAGAGGCTCTTCTCCAACAGGTCCTGCAGGAAAGTGAGAACATCCACTATGGCGTTCATAATAGGAAGTGCGTTCCTTTCCTGGCACCAGATTTCAAAAGCACGCCATTTCCGTGTGTTCAGACTCTGTGTGAAGTCTCTGTGTGAAGAATGCCATTTTTCATAGAGCCAACTGTTCCTTGGGAGGCCTTAGTAGAAGCATTTAAAAGGAAAAAGCAAATCTCAAATAAGGGGCAGAAGCAGAGCAGTCAGGGTAGAAAGTTAGGATCTGTCCAGTAAAAGTAAGATGTTTTGAGGGGTTTGTTACAAGGTCCGTTGTCTCATTGTTGACTGAGTTAAGTATAAGTATAAGGTCAGGTGGAATTTGGATTGGAAGAAGCAATAGTAGCTGGGGCAATAGAAGGGGAAGAACTTAAGGCAGACCATTGGGTGAAAGAAAGAAATCCAGGAAGTATTTAAGTGGTGGTTGTGGCCCATCTGAGCATTTCAAAACCAGGAAGTAATTTCAGGTGAGTTTACCTGTATGATTTTGTATTTGCTGGCATTCTTATTGACTATGGGACTGTTTAGGTGAGTTTGTATGCTGTGTGTTTTTTCCTGTCTTTGACACCCTCTATGCTTTCATTAGCTCCATGGTTTGCTATATTTAGGTATTCAACACAATTGTACATTAACCCAGCTCACAGGGATTTATTCTTTCACATTTCAGTCTCATCTGTGACTTCAAATCAAATTTAAGAAGATAATTGTGATGTTTACGTTGCTTTTATTTTTGTTTAGCAATAAATAATATCAAATTTCTTCCTGTCACATGCTTTATTCAGCATTTGAGTAAATATATTGATTATCAGCCTGCCAGAATCTTTACCCCCTCTGTTTAAATCATGTCTGACATCTTACCGTCAGATGTTTGACATCATACACACATCAGGTCTTACCCAATTACTAAAGTTGCATATAGGGTACAGATTCTGACAGTAGAGCATCCATCAGCCAGCCAGAATTGGAACCCCTTTTGTTTAAAACTTGTATTACTCCTTTCCTCACCTGTTTAATCTGACACACACCTCAGGTCATACCCAGTAACTAGAGTGAATCTGAACAAGTTTTGATTATATTTTTTACAGTTTTTTCACAGATTCTATCAGCCAACATCCATTAGCCAACCAAAATTTGTGCCCGCTCGCTTTACAACTTGTATTTCATCATAACATCAGATAACACATCTGATATGAGACAGATGCAAAGCAATTTTAATATTTTTACACTCCACGAGTAAAAATGAAGTCAAATAAATGCCACATTTTTTTAATAGATAATGTGAAGCCCAAAGAGGCCAATCTTTAGAAATCCCCATGTCAAAACCAGTCAGTAAACCTCAAGCATACAAACTCACCCAACAACATACATTTCTAACAAATCTGTGTCAGCATACAGTGGATGAACCATAACAAAAAAATAATCAGTATAATCTCTTATGAATACATCAGATGTCATCTATTCATGCAGATTCAAGATGTACACATTTCCCATTGTTCCTTACGGCCTTTTTTTCTTTAAAAAAAATGTCTTGCATATTCTCCATGGGAATTACACCAACAAGTTATAAATAAATAAAAAAATACGTTTCAGCTAAAGGTAACAACGTGACCAGATAGTCAGGCTTCAGTGTTCAGTGGACAAACTCATCATCGTCATGGCAATAAGCTTAAAGTGCATAAAAATGTATCTATCACCCAGGTGATCGATTGGGAGGATGTTCGCTTTTGAGGGGGTGGTGCTCTGGACATAAAGAGCCGTTTTTAATCACTGAAGGTGTGGATGTCATTGTAGAGGCTCAGAGAAGTGCCGGGGGGTGCGTTGTTTGTGTGACAACCTGGCCTGCAGCTGCAGGTTTTAATCAGCATCACGTTAAAGAAACGCTCTCCGTCCGGACAGCGGAAGCGGAGCCGGGCGGTGCGGGTGAGGGAGGGGACGCAGCAACGGCCGTCGGTGCAAGCCCCACAGGTGCGGGGGCGATACCGCCGGGCTGTGGAGCAGCCACCGAACTCGATTCGGACCATTTCCTGTGGACGGATTGTTCGCTGACACCTCTTCCCCTTTAGGATGACAGAGAAGCAACCCCATATGAAGTCCTCAGTGTTGATTATCTATCTTTCATTCTGTGTTCATGCATTTGCTAAGTACACGGTCTCTACATTCTATCATCATCATTCTATCATATGTGCTCGTATTCAAACGTAGAGGTTACCTTGCTGAGCACAGGGAGCCCAAACTCACAGTGCTGGATCTGGCACAGTCTGGTTTCTCTGACCAGACGGCAATCCAGGTTGTTGTTGGTCTCTCTACTCGAAACGCCCATCCCGCATGTTTTGGAGCATTGAGTCCATTCAGTGGTTTGTGGGAGGCAGTGCGAGCCAAGTAACACCTCAGATGTGGAAACGGACGCCATCTCTTTAAGATTCTCTGCCAAAAAAAGCACAAATATCCTTAACCTCCTGAGACCCGAGCTTTTATTTGGTGTGTGTTTATGCTTTTCCCAAGATTTATGGGATTTATGGAAGTAGTAAGACCTATTAAGTTTGATAAATAGACTTCCTCACAGTACTACCGTAATAGTTTTTTTTTCCATAGTTCATATATTAGTATTTAAAATGTGTATTCATGTATTTAAAAGTTTACTCAGAAATTGGGTTCTGAAGGTCCCAAAGTCTTAATTGCAACATTTTAATTAATGCACAATAACGACATGATTGGTTGAAAATGTATAAAACCATTTAATTATAGATTTTAAAGATTTGGGTCTGATAGCATCTAATATGAGGTTAAGTGGTCAAAGTTTTTTTTAAAAATTGGGTTCATGGTAAAGAGAGGCACAAAATGCCTCATATGAGGACTCTGGGAGTCAGGAGGATAACCAAATAAAACATTTTGTGAGCAAGCCTATAAAAATTGCCAAAGCTCCTCATCTGACTCACTGCTTGACTGCTATCAACATGATTTCAAAAAATCCTCAGAATGGATTTCATGCTGCCATAAAGGATTTTCTTAAAGTGATGAGATGTACTCTGATGCTTACCTATGAATGCTGTCGGCCGGCTGCTGGCAGTCAGGTAGTGAGGCTGCAGCTGGGTTTGCAGTGGAGCACCGATGTGGTTTGGATGGAGCTGGCTGTCTGGCAGGGACGGGTATGTTGGCGGCCCTGTCTCCTCGCCGATATGGTTGTCATCGTCGCACACCCACTCCTTGCAGCAGCCCTTGGGCTGGGCCAGCCGGGGTTTTGAGCACCTCCACTGGGGCACGGGGACTTGGTGAAGACAGAGGGGCATGCAGCCCACCACACCGTTCATGCAGGTGCACTGCTGCTGGCAGATGGGCTGAAAGTCCTCGCCGTGTTGGTACACGCGGCCGTTGAAAGCGCAGGGCAAACCGAAGGCTTCCGCTGTCAATCAAAAGAGGAAACAGTACAAAATGTATGTTAAGCATAATGCGCTGGAGGTGTAAAACTTAATGTGTCTTCCAAAAGTGATATGGCTTCATGCTTTTAATGATGCAAATTTAAAAATAAGCCTTTGGTTTAAAATATTATTTCTGTTCTAGTAAGAGGAAGGAATATTTTCAAAGGGATGAATATCAACTACATATCTTACATAATGAGCCATTAATGCAAATTGATGACTCATTTTAAATTATTCAAACCCCAAGTATTCAATTAAGTTTGCAATTATCTCTAAATGTCCCTGTTTCTTACACATGTACACATTCACCTTTGTAAAAAAAAGAAGAAATCTGAGGGCATTTGTGACAAAAAAGTGCATTTGTCATAGGCTTGTATTGACATATAAATCAGGACCTTAGGCATAGTTATTTTGTTACAGCCATTTGTTTAAAAAGTTGCAAATGTGAAATCTTGTTTCTTAAGGGGTTAGGGGCTGTGTGTAGATACTCTAAAAACACACATAAAATAAACAAATTTAACAAGAAAATCTGAAACACACACACACACATATATGTATATATATATATACATACACACACATATATATGTATATATATATATATAAATATACACACACACATAGATTTTATACAGGCATCATAAAATAGTAATCATATCTACCATTACCACTTATTTTGTATCTCTAATTATCTGAAAACTATATGCCACTGATCTGCCTGAATTGTCGTTTCTTTGCTTGTTTGACTTTTTTCTGCATGTGTGATTTATTTTCTGTTATTAAGATAACCAAAACTGCGAGCTGTGAGTTTGTTCAGCATTGTTAATGCGTCTAACCTCGACAGAGTCCTCGGTCGGGGTCTCCTCTCGCCCCAAGACGACAGCGCAGACCCTTGATGTGGTCACAGGGTTCTGAGACGCTGCAGTCTTGATTGAACTGCCTGGCACACACTTTGCAGCAGCCGCACGCGTCGGTCACCCAGCTGACGCCGGGGGGGCAGGCTGGGGGCGAGGGCGTGCAGGAGCACTTATCTGGACATCCAACGTCCGTCTGAGAAATAAGATCGGAGGTGAAGGCACTTTTCAAAACAGATGGAACGCCAACAGAGAATGTAATGTAACTCACCATAACTGTAGTGCTGCCCAGGACGAACAGGGTGGAAAGGATCTGATGCAGAACGGAGCTTCTGAGCATCCCCATTACAGCAGGTGAACGCACAAAGAAACCGAATAAGCTTTCCAAAAGCGGAGCGCTATCAAAAAGCTGGTCAGGTCCAGAGGTGGAGAACTTTTCTTTAGTGAGTCCAGGATGAAAAAGTGTCCCCGGTGCAGTCTGAGCATTGGGGAAACGAGCGTGTCGGACTGTGTTCGTTCTCCCGCAGCGTCTTGGTGTGAATACGGCTCTGTTCTACTTGGGAGAGGGCTTTTTCCTGGGAACTTATAGACACTTTTTCTCCCTCCCCTGCTGTGACATCACATTCTCTTCTCACAAGAAGGCTGGAAATTATCCAGGAGGGGAAGGAGGTGACTGGCGAGCTGGTGCAAAACACTGAGAGAGATTTGATTGACCTTATATACCAGTAAACAAACATTATGAATAAATATAAATGTAAATCCCTGTTAAACTGTGCTTTTGTGTGAAAATATAGCTATGGAAAAACAGACTTCAAGGATTAATTTAAACCTCTTTAGCTGGAGTTTTAGATAAATCAGGTAATATTCTACACATATCTGCAACAAAAAAGAATCAGATGGGTAGTAGTAAAAAAAAAATCATGGGAAACCTGAGCAGGGGAATCCCATGTGGGCATTGCACAAAATCCCTGCGAAGAGTTCTCTCTGCTGCATTGTGCTACAGGAAACTTTTCACAGGACATCCTGTGTTGCCCCCTTTTCTTCCCTAATGAACCACATTCTAGGAAAATAGAGGCTTATCCTTAGGTTCCACGGCAGGTAGGAAAAAACTCAGCTTCCTCATTGTTCTCTGAAGGGCACGCAATGGTGTGTTGTTTGCAAAGCAGGAAAGCCATTGAATGATTGCCATAAAACATGGGTCTCATAATTTTGTGCATTTGATAAGCGTGCGGCTAAATTCAGTCTCAAAACAAAAAAGAAAGGAGAAGGAATAAACATGTAGGAAGAAATACAGTCTTGTAAGACTGCAATGTCACAATATACGCAACAAAATTATAATTATATGGCAACTTTTATGGGAACTTTTCCTTTTCCAACTGCAGATTAAACTTATTTTATGCATAGGATATAATGTGAAACCATACCTGGTTTACCAGTAAAGCTGTGGGGACACTGGAGTGAGATGGGAAGATTTGGGTGGGGGGGGGGGCAGCTGGGTAGGGAGGAGAGCAGTCTGGATTCTTGGCATTCCTGGCCCACAAAGGCAGGATGTGTACACGGGCCATGCCGCATCAGACGCCAGTGGAGGAGCGCAGGGTACGGAGAGCGGTCAGCTGGGCCGTCCCCTGCCTGGAAAATTAGCTGGCCATTGTTTGGCAGCCCGGCAAACCTTTCCAAAACACATAAGAAGTTCAGGAGTCTTTGGCGATTCAGCACGCTTCCCCCCGCCCCCCCAGGTTGTTTTTCTCAATATCTGACCTCAGCATCCTGTCAGGGTCTCCCTCCTTTTAAAAGTTTAAAAACCAAACTTCTTTGTTCAAAACATTTCCAGTGCAACTGCATCACACATTCCTTGAGGCGTGTTACCCAGGTTTTAACGAGACTAATTTCAGTATTAAGCGTTCCCGAAATGCAGTTGTGAAAATCTGTTGAATGTTTCCTGCAGAACAACCCAGAATAACAGTTTCAAAGCATTCCAGAAGACAAACATGTGTAAGTGTAAGAAGCTCACAGTAGTAGGTGCTGGGATCTGTGAGTCAAACACAAAGGACCCAGTCAGGACAGCCAGTACGATTCGGTTTATTTTGGACTGAAAAAAGAAATGATGGCAGTGTAACTCTAGAAAGGAAAGCATGAAGAGAAAATAGATATAAAAGAAGAATAATTAAAAGAAGCAGTACGTACATTGTCTGAACTGCACAAAAGTTGTTTTGTGAATTCATATTCAACTGTCTTGCATAAAAAAATTTGTAAGGTTTGATTCCAATTTTTCCTCCACAGAAAGAAACAAGAAGTCCTCAATAATGTTAATCTTTAAGAAAGCCCGTTTGTGTGTGTTTATTGTTTAGCCAATTTCATTAGCTCTGTCTTTATGAACACAGGATGGAAAGATAATATTGTCTCTTGTAACTTTTGTTGAGCAAGTCTCAGCTCAGTTCCTAGTAACATGACGGGCACTACATTTGTAACAGCAAAATCTGAAAAAGCGCCTATAAGTTTGAATCATTTCATTTTAATATTTGTTACAAAAGATTCAATGACCTAATGATTTGAGACAAACTCTAAAAAAAAGTGTTTTAAATGAAAATTATGTGATACAAATTAAGCCTCATTTGAAGTAGCTACAATTGTAGCACACTGGCTATTCAGTCATCTTTAAAAAAATGAAAGAATGTGTTCAAAATCCTATAGCACGCTCCAGGATTCAACAGGTTTTAACTCTTTTCTTCTGAATAAGAGGAATACATCTGATGAATATTGAAATAATTTCACTTTCAAAACAGGTGGGGACCCAGTGAGACCACACCTGAGGCTTCCCATGCAGCTCCTGGAGCCCCAACTGCTCCCTGAGCTGGAACTACTTCAACAGAAGACTCCACTTAAGACTTAACCCTATAATTCCATATGTGTCATATCTGATACATACGGTGTCTGAAGTCTTTTGGATCTGAGACTTGTTGCATCATTCAATGGTAAAAGCTTTGCTCAAACCCCTGTTGTACACTCAGATATACCTGATAACAGCCAGTAAAAGACTACCCGAAAATATATTTTTGACTTATTGCACGCTAATTTGATCAAAATAATATCAGTTTTTTTTCTTCATATGTTGTTGATGGGCCAAAGAAAAGACTTCAGACTAAAAAATCCAATATTCTTCCTATTTTTCTTGGATCAGGCTTTAAAAGGTTAAGAAGTGTCATTTGTTGTTATAAATGAGTGACTCACTCACTTTGCAAGGATGGTGAGACAGAATTTCAAATTAGTGTAGGTTTAATTGGAGATTGTAAATTGGACTTTCTAAATTTAGTTTACTGGAGATTCTAAATTATTTATAGTGATTATAATGATTGTGATGGTGTATAGTTGTGTAGTTGTCTGTCTTCTGTGGCCCTGTGATGGACTGGAGGCCTGATAGATGGGTACCCTGTCTATTTCCTGTGATAAACCCGATCCCCTCACAACCCTACTGGGTATACGCATGAATAGATGGAATGATTTTCAACTCAGAATCAAAGTCAAATCAAAATTATGACATCAACATTTATTTACAGACCTCATCTCCATTCATTATGACCACTTCCTGCTGCTGACTGGAATGTTTTCCTGAGTCCTTCTTTCTACATTGGAAAAGAAAACATGTTAAACTGATAATACAGTAATGAAGAGGATGGTCAGTACTATGTTTTACCTTAACAAACCTGTGTAATCCTCTTTTTAAACTCCAGATAAATCACCCGACACAGAAGCAGCTTTCTTCATCAGATCATTCAGGTAAATTGAATCTTATACTACTGCACCAGATGGTTGTAAAGCAGGTTGTACAATCCACAAAAAAGTTGTGGAAAATAAGCAACACTTTGCTGCTTACAATGAAGGATGTTTTTTCTTCCCCAAAGAGAGTTAAGAGAAATGGTGAGAGTGCAGTACTCAAATTCTACTGACCACATTTTCTAACCCTTGGAGCTTCATGAAAAAATAACCGTTGTTTTTTAAAGTATATTAGTTATTCAAAATGTTCTTTCATTGATACAGGAATATTTACTTGAAGATTATGTATAACTTCAAAGCATGCTTAGGTATTTGTGATCAGTTAATTATCAAAGTTTTCCAGTTTATTGAAACTTTTTTTTTGTTAAAATAACATGATCTCCTCAAACAACATTCCCACCTCCTTTGACAAGATTCGGATTGGTGGGTGTTTATTGGCAGCATGATATATTTCCAGATCGCTAGAAAGTATTGGGGCTGAAGTGGTAAAGAAAAAGTCCTGCAGCCACACAAAAGATTGAGTCATGGTTTAAGCTGGCTGCTATCCAGCCAGCAGGTCAGAGGGAAGCTGTGGTCTGCACATTCCTAACCAGTATCTAATAGAAGTGATGACAGCCGGGGTCACAGAGGAGCAATGACGGACTTCAGTGCTGGCAATACGAGCAATGACCTGGCCATTGATTGTATGGCATAGGCAGGTGTGCAGCACACCCTGACAAACTCACCCTTTCTATGCTGAGGCTGAGGAATGCTGCAGTTATAATTAAGAAAATAACTTTTGCTGCAACTACAGAACATCCTCAGTGAAGATTATAGTAATAAATTCCAATTGTTTTAATGCAATCTTTAATTTGAGGTACTGCAAAGACAAAAATCTATATTATTTATTTTTATTAGCATTTCAATTCATGATATACATTTTTTAAAAGGTGCCTAATGGTTACAAACCAGAGCAAATTAGTTGTGGTTAAGTAATCTGCAAATTCAAAGAACTACAAATTTGTATAATTAAACTTTCAGTTGTCAAACAGGAAAAAATTTAAGCAGAAATTGATGTGAGCAATATTATTGTCTGCAAAATTTTGTTCTGTTACAATATTTGGTAACACTTTACAATAAACATCATTTAAAAATAGTAGATAGACCATTTATAAATGGAAAACAGATAGTTTATGAATTTTTAACCATCATTTATAAACAGCATAAACGGCCTATTAACCATTTATAAATCATGGTTATTGTAAAATTTTCCCAATTTTCTTGTTTTAATTTTGGTAATCTGAATTCAATGTTGGAAAATATGGTGCCCAATACAAGTTTTTTTTGCAAAGGAAAGCTGTGATCACGCAATTCATGTGAAAAAATGTTCTGGTCTATGCTTTATAATCTTTATCTGCTAAAAAAAAGTTTGCGTGACTATGATGCACTTATGTAATCCACTGATTGGTAATCAGTGGATTACTTTTTTATTTATTTTTTAAGAAGTATCTAACCTCCAGGTCTAGCTCACTCTTGATGGGATGGTTGTCTTCTTGGGTGTGCCTGCGCTGCATTCTCTCCCAGACTCATGCAGGA